CCTTACCCACAGGGCTAGGATTATAGGCGTGAGCCATGCCTAGCTGTTTTTACCTCATTCTTTTAAGAACCCATATCTAAATATGTAAGTCTTCAAATGTATTACAGCTTAATCTTCATGGATTAGCAGGGTAGATCTGCTACAGGGCTATAGAGGATATTATCTTTAAAGGTTTCTATCTTTGGTAGAGACGGGGGTCTCGCTCTTGCTCAGGCTGGTTTCGAACTCCTGACCTTGAGCGATCCTCCTGCCTCAGCCTCCTAGAGTGCTACACCATGCCCAGGCCAAACCTGTAATTTTTATCATGCCTCTTTTTTTATTAAATTTTAAAAGAGAATATGTAAAAGATAATGAACATTTAAAATGGCTGAATGTGGATTTAAAAAAAGAAAAAAAAAAATGAACATAGCACCCGTGGCTTTCCAAATAGTGTAAGGAAAATGCACAGAAACCCATTGTAGAACAAAGTTTTAGAATTTCTGATTCAGTTGTAATGCAGACTTGGCATCCATAAAGGATGGCCAGTGCAGAGAAGGACAGATGTGATGCAGAGTGGTGAGCAAAAGCTGTCACCTGAATGCTGGCTACCCAGTCCTCAGAGGCTTGCAACCTTGTGGCACTTCCATGGGCTTCTTCGTTACAGAACAAATGATGACCCAGTCACAAACTCTGAATTAGAAAATTGTCATTCTTAATATGCCCTGTGTTTTTGTCAGTATTTATTGTCATTTCACAGTCATTGCAGCATTCCCAATTTTTCCACAAGCATATGGTATGAGACATCAAAGAATGTGGGGTATTAGAAAGAGATTAATTATGCAGGAGAAAGTATCATTTTGCAAATACTGTTATTTTTATCTACCTTCAGAAAGGAAATTCAGAAAAAGAAAAATGATTTTTATAGAACACTGATAAAAATTTTGTAAGCAGTTGTTTTCTTTTTTTGTGATGCCGATTTTTTCCCCTTAGTACTGCATTTTCTATTTCCTCCATCAGACACCCAACTTCAGTTAATATTTCGTTTACTTTGAGTTTCATTCAACTGTATCACCTAGTTATTCTTAGGTTAAAAGCAGTTTTTTTAGTTTTTGGAGTTGCAGAAGTTTTTTCAAATAGAGGAAATTAGAGTTCTTGATGAGATTCTGAAAGCCATCCAGTTGTGCCTTACTTTGAAAAACTGGATATAGAGCATTCCTTAGGTACAAATCAGAAAGGCTGCTATTCATATCATTAAAAAATCACGTGTCTTACAAAAGAATGTAGTGGTTTACTGAAATAGAACTCATACCTGGTGATTTAATCATTCATATTTAATTTTCAGAAATTTTAAGTTGAGCATAAAAATCACCTTATTCTGTATCTCTGCTTTGCCAGTAATGAATTTAATCCTTCTGGAACAGTGGATTGTTGTGAGTGGTTCTAGAGAGGGCTCAGAAAACTAAAATTTGTATATCCTGGGCCACAATCATTCTTTTCACCTACTCTCATCTTTCTGTTTTTTGTTTTGTGTCTTACTACCCTGTGTTTTCACTAAGAAATTTTTACTAGTAGTCTCAGTGCAAGAAAATTTGCATCAAATTTGTCTTACAATATTGATGTGGTTCCAGATTTTTCTTAGCCCACCATCCTCCCCATCCACTAAAAAAAGCTAACCAAAGCAGCAGTCATCACAAGTGCCTCATTGTGCAAGAATACTGTGACACTATTCATGTAATAAAAAGTTTGTGTTAGAATTTCACTCGCTTTAAATCCAGGCCATCTTCTATGAAATGAGTCTATCATTCACTGCAGGATGTATCTGAAATAAGCCTGACATTTGCAGTATTTAAGAAACCCTTTACTGTTCTGTGTGCTGGGCACTGTGCTAGCTTTGCAGATTTAACTGCAAATACTCTAGCCAGAGTTCTTGTCTAAACAGTCTAGGGCAGGGGTTGGCAAACTTTATTAAAGGGCCAGATAATAAATATTTTAGATTTTAGGGCCATCAGTTTTCTGTCACAACTAGTGGACTATATACCACCATTGAAGGTGGAAAAAAAAAATGGTGTCACTATGCTCCAAAATTGTATTTACAAAACAGGCCAACTGGTGTCACCTACAGGTCAAATTTGGCCTGACTCCCTACCTAGGCTAGAGGATAATAAGAGAGAAAGGGGATTCAAAGATCACAATAATTTAGCTGGACTGTATCCCTTTAAATACATTTATTACACTCAGTAGAGGGTTTTAAGTTAACTTATTCACTTCGATTAAAGAATGGTAGAAGACAGTCAATTTTCTGTTGAAACTTGGCATTTTGCAGACACATTACAAAGTAGCATCACTAGACTAGCATGAACATTACTTCCATAATAATATCTTATCCTTAATGCTCTATGCCTCATTGTGCGGTGAGCTTTCTGGCTGCTTTAGAATATGTTTTTCAGCCTGAATATTATTCTAAAAATAAACTGCTTGTCATTCATAATATATCAAGTGACTGAGATAGCTGTAAGGTGACAAATTCAGTAGAAGTAATAAGATCATTTAGAAAATAATGATAAGGGCAGGTGCAGTGGCTCATGCCTATAATCCCAGCACAAATGGGAGGCCCAGGCAGGAGGATCACTTGAGCCCAGGAGTTCAAGACCAGCCTGGGCAACATAGAGTGACCTTGACTCTATAAAACATAAAAAATAATTAGCCAGTGATGGTGGCATGTGCCTGTAGTCCCAGCTACTTGGGAGGCTGAGACAGGAGTATTGCTTGAGCCCAGGAGTTGGAGGTTATAGAGTAAGCTGTGATCGTGCCCCTAAACTGTAGCCTGGGTGATAGAGTGAGACTCTATTTTATTAGAGAGAGAGAGAGAGAGAGAGAAGAGAGAGAGGGAGGAACTGATGATATAAACTGAAGTTCTGTGTTTAATTTGGGGGAAATGAATATTTTTGTGCATTAAAAGAAGTAGAGTTTAACATTCCTTACAACCTGTTTACAGTTTGAATTTGTCCCTGTTTTTTCAGCTGGTCAAAAGAAGCTCCTTCCTCTTTGTTTTTTGTCAGCATCCTACAGCTGTTATAAAGTGAGCAGTTGTATGTCATTTGTTGCTTCCATATTGGGTCATTTGTAATGGGCAAACTGGACATGTGGGAGTTGTTTCCTATTACTCTTATTTATCTTTTTTTGAATAAGAGGTCCTTTGTTCCCTATTTCCTCAACACAGAACAGAGGTTTTGTATCTTAGTGTTCATTCTCTGCTACTTCTCTGTTTTCAAAGAAGAAAACATTTGCTTCACTCCATTCCTTCCTTCCACGCAGGCGTCCCCGACCTATTGTGAGCTGTATAATTATTTCATTATATATTACAATGTAATAATAATAGAAATAAAGTGCACAAGAAATGTAATGTGCTTGAATCATCCCGAAACCATTCCCTTCCCGCTTAAGTCATGGAAAATCTGTCTTCCATGAAAATGGTCCCCGGTGCCAAAAAGGTTGGGGACTGCTGTTCTACAGGGCATCCAGAGGATTTTGAAGACTTGTGCCAAGAATTCTTTGGGGGAGATGGAGCATAGCCGTTGTGAAGTAGAAATTCATTTTTTTAAAAAAAATAAATTCATTTCTTAATGACATTAACAAATCATTGTGAGCATTGCTGTTTTTATTACGAGCGATACCCCTTTCTTCTATCCCAAGTGCTCCACATGGGTCCTCTCATGAGAGTGAAGAAGCGACATGTTTGCTTTTTTGCATCATTTTACTGCACCTGATATTTTGTCTTTGTTTCTGAATATCACGTGAAATTTGGTTCTGATGATCTATCAGGCAGTGCATGTAGGCCAAATGCTGAATGCAGGCAGGATTGGTTTGGCTCACACAGGGCTCAATTTCTGTGCGTGTCGCCAACATTGAAGAGTCAAGTGATTTTGCTTTTTCCCCTCTGTGTCATCTGTCATCTATCCAATGGATGTTCAGTTACTGTTCTTTAATAATGGTGCTGATTTTTCTCCCCCCAGGCTAAAGATCTAATAATCACACCAGCCACCATTTTAAAGGGAAAACCAGACCCAAAGGCTCTGGTTTTCGGAACTGTGTTCACGGATCACATGTTGACAGTGGAGTGGTCCTCAGAGTGTGGATGGGAGAAACCTCATATCAAGCCTTTTGAAAACCTGTCACTGCACCCCGGCTCATCGGCTTTGCACTATGCAGTGGAAGTAAGTCCGTGGGATTTCATGGTGGTGGCATGCTTGTCCTTCACTGCCCTTCACTGTGCTTGCTAAAATAGCTTTTGGGCAATGTGGACTTTATTGTGTTTACTATGGGAGGTCAAAAATATCTTTAAAATTTTTCTTGTAGACAATTGGATTGAGAATAAATCCTAGGAATTTATTTTTCAGATAATCTTAATTTTTCTGTGATGTTAATAAAGCAATCATTTGGAGCAAATAGAAAGGACAATTGGAGGGAAAATTAGCAATAAAATAAAAAAACAGTCCTGTTGATTTTTTACTAAGTCACCTCTGTTCTCAGATCTTTTAATTGAGAAGGGGTCATTGAGTACAATATTATGATTAGATTTTAATGCTAACACCTGTTTTTATGACCAGTAATAATGTGTAGTTATGTATGTTAAGGGACATGTAATTAAATGTCCTTCTTCAGGCATGAGTTGAAATAATTACAAGCATAAAATGTTTTGAGAATTCTTTTCTTGGTCCTCAGCATACACAGTTAATCAGATATACAATATACTCCCTAGTCCCTTAATCCCTTAATCCCTATTTTATTTCTTTTTAATATGCTGGATGTCTTTCCCAGGATATTGTGGGTATTGGAAATAGTCGTCTCCCTAGTAAGGTACTAAAAGATGGTAATAGTAAAATATTAATAGATATAATGTTACAGTAACTACTTTTGTTTATTGAATTCCTGCAATGTGCCTTGTATTCTCCTTATGTGAATCATCTCATTTAATTATCCTGAGCAGGAAAGGATGTGCTTAAGCATTCAGGTTCTGGAGTCAGACTTCCTGGGCTCAAATTCCATCTCAATTGCTCTGCAAGGAGCTCTGTGACTTGGGGAATTTAATCACTTGTGCTTTAATTTCTTTATCTATAAAATTGGGGTAGTGATAATGTCTACCTCATCATATTCTTATAAGTATAAAATACATTAATTCATTTAAGCCCGTAGAGCCATGCTTCGTGTACAGTGATAGCCCAGTCAGCTATTGAAGCAGTAGCCTCATCTATTACAAAAGCGGGCTCGGAAAAGTTGTTTCTTGTCCAAGATTATACAGCCTCAAGGGTAGAGGCAGGGTTCCAATGTGGGATTCCTATTATATAACCCCTAAACATATACACTAAAATAACTGAGAGTCTTGTCCAATTAACTTGTTCCAAATTAAAAATTCACGTAATTTTGGAAACATATTTACTGCCCATGTGTACCCAAAAAAGGTTGACTGTAGCAGCTTAAGTTCCCATTCCCAGCTTAGTCTCTTAACTGTATCCACTTAAATGCGTTCTTTCATTATTTGCCCTCACCATGTCATAGGGTGTAATAAAGAGCATGTGAAATAAAGTATTTTTTTTCTTTTTTTTTTCTTTTGACAGATCTCTTAGTTCAGGTGAAGAAATAAAATATTTTTAAATTTGAAAGAAGGGATGTGGCCAAGCCTAGGGCACTGGTTCTTAAATTTAGTGTGCATCAGAATCACTTGGCTCCCCCTCCAGAGTGTGTGATTTCTAATAGATTTTCAGGTCATGTTAATTCTCCTCCTCCAGGGACCACATTTTGAGACTTGCTAGCTGATAAGAAGTAAATGAGGAAGGAGTAATATCATTTTTGAAAATTAAAAATTTTGGTGGTTATTGGTTTTTGAAAAGTCTTTGGAAATTTATTTAGATGAGTTGGAATGCTAGTTTGATTAGTTTTGCCAATTTAGATTTTTTAATTTAGGATACTACAAGTAGAAAAAAATTAGCTGGGCATGGTGGCATGTACCTGTAGTCCCAGCTACTTTGGAGGCTGAGGCAGGAAGATGGTTTGAGTTTGAGGTTGCCGGAAAGCTATGATGATGCCACTGCACTCTATCCTAGGCAATAGAACAAAACCCCTTCTCAAAAAAAAAAAAAGGCCCCCAAAATAAAAAAACCTTTCAGATATTTATTACCCACATATAGTTACAACACTAAAAATAAGATGGATTTTAGGATCAACAGGCCTGATGAGGAGAAGAGAAACATGTTCAAAGATATTACTCAGATTATTAATTTTGGATTAAAAATATAACTATTATTGAATTTAAAAATCAAGTTTGTATCCAATAATGTGGTATCCCAAGCAGTATTAAGAGGAAAATTCATAGCACAAAGTGCCTACATCACAAAAGTAGAAGAAGAGTTTCAAAGAAACGACCTAACAATGCATCTCAAAGCATTAGAAAAGGAGAAATTAAGCCTATGGGGAAGCCTGAAACATAAATGGAAGAGATGTTTCAACAACAGTATTTGTGGAAAAACCCTATGAAATAAAAATACCTGCCTAACTTTTGGTGGGGAGGTTTAAAAAGAAAGATAATTCTTTGAGAACAAGGTCATGGCTGGTTTGCTCACCACCCTGCCCACGGGCACCTGGCACAAACCTGGGCACATAGTAGGCACTCGGTATCACCAACAAGTAACAGGAAATGAATGAATATGCCTAGGAGAAGACAGCCAGGGACCCTGAAGTTCTCTGTACAAGTTTAAAGACTCCTTTCCTTGCCTATCTTACAGAAGAATCCTATATTGATTTTGTCATTCACAGTTTGGACCTTAATCCTAGAAGTTGATTTTTGTGTGAAGTAGGAACCAATTTGTTTTTTTTTCAATTTCCCAGCACCATTTAATAGTCCTCTAATGATCCTTGGATTTCTGCAATATCAGTTGTAATGTCTCCTTTTTCACTCTGATTTTATTAGAAGTCTTTTGTCTTTTCTTAGTCTGGTTAAAGATGTTTCTATTTATTTTTGATTACCTTTTCAAAAACCAGCTTTTTGTTTTGTTGATCTTTTTGGGTTTTAATTTCATTTATTTCTCTACTGATTTTATTATTTCATATTCTACTACTATTTTGGGTTTTTTTGCTCTTGTTTTCTAATTCTTTGAATGTATTATTAGATTGTTTCTTTGAAACTTCTACTTTTTTGATGTAGGAACTTTGTGCTATGACTTTCCTCTTATTACTGCTTTTAGCTGTATCCCCATGGTTTTGATATGTTTTGTTTTCATTTTCATTTGTTTGAGAATTTTTACATTTCTTCTTAATGTCTTCATGATCCACTGGTCATTCAGAACATATTGTTTAATTTCCATGTGTTTGTATATTTTTTCCATATTACCTCTTGTTTAGTGATTTTATGTTTTATTCCATTGTGGTAGAGAAAATAATTGGTATGATTTCCAATTTTTTGAATTTTGGGACACTTGTGGTTTGACATGTTCTATCCTTGATAATGATCCATGGACTGAGGAGAACGTAATTCATTATCTGTAAGCTGTTGGATGAAATGTTCTGTAAATATCTATTGGATCCATTGGTGTATAGTGAGAATAAGTCCAGTTTCATTGTTGATTTTCTATCTGGATGATCTGTCCAATGCTGAAAGTGGAGTGTTTAGGTCTTCAATGTTTATTATATTGTTTTTTATCTCTTTAGCTCTGATATTGTTCGCTTTCTGTATCTTGGTGCTCTAGTGTTGGGTGTATATATATTTAGCATTGTTATATCCTCTTGCTGAATTGACCCTTTTATCATTATATAATGACCTTCTTTGTCTTCTTTTACAGTTTTTGTCTTGAAATTTATTTTGTCTGATAGAAGTATAGCTATTCCTGCTCTTTTTTCATTTCCATTTACTTGAAATATCTTTTTCCATCCATTTATTTTCAGTTTGTGTGTCTTCTTTTTTTGTTTGTTTTTGTTTTTTGTTTTTATATTTTTGAGGATGGGGTCTCACTCTTGCTCAGGCTTGTCTGGTCTTGAACCCTTGAGCTCAAGCAATCATCCTGCCTCAGCCTCCAAGAATGTTAGGATGACAGGTGTGTGCCACTGCACCCGGCGGCCATATTTGTAACTTTATAGGCGAACTGTGTTTCTTGCAGACAACATATAGTTGGCTCTTGTTTCTTATCCATTCAGCCACTCTACGTCTTTTGATTGGAGAGTTTAGTTCACTCACGTTTGACGTTACTATTGATAGGTAAGGACTTACTATTGCCATGTTCTTATTTGGTTTCTGGTTGTTTTGTAGCCCTCTGTTTCTTCTTCCTTCTTTCCTGTCTTTGTTAAAAGTGATTTTCTCTCGTAGTGTGTTTCAATTTCTTAATTTTTATTTTTTGTGCATCTGTTGTAGGTTTTTTGATTTCAGGTTACCATGAGGCTTGCAAAAAACATTTTATAAGCAATTATTTTAAACATATGACAACTCTGCTTACAAACAAACATAGACAAGCAAAGAGAAATCTAACAGAAATTCTAAGCTTTAACTCCACACACCACACACCACTTTTGGACTTTTTGTTGTTTCCATACATATAGCTTTATATATGTCAAAAAGTTGTGGTTATTTTTGATAAGTTTATGTTTTAGTATCATGCCACTCTTTCCTGGCCTGTAATGTTTCCACTGAGAAATCTGCTGCCAGACATATTGGAGCTCCTTTATATTTTATTGTTTTTTAGGACCTTTTCTTTATTCATGACCGTTGAGAATTTGATTATTAAATGCATGAGCTAGTCTTGTTTGGGTTAAATCTGCTTGCTGTTCCATGACCTACTTATACCTGAATATTGATTTTTTTTTTCTCTAAGTTTGGAAAGTTCTCTGTTATTATTTCTTTGAATACATTTTCTACCCCAGTCTATCTCTACTTCTATGAGTTTGACCTTTTTCTTTTTTCTTTTTATTTTTTTAGTAGAGACAGGATCTCGCCGCCCTTGCTCAGGCTAGTCTTGAACTCCTGAGCTCAAGTGATCCTCCCGCCTCAGCCTCCTAAAGTGCTAGGATTACAGGTGTGAGCCACTGCACCTGGCCAACTTTTTTAGATTCCACATATGAGTGGGATCATTCAGTATTTGTCTTTCTGTGCCTCACTTTTTCACTTAGCATAACATCCACCAGATTCTTGCATGCTGTTGCAAATAACAGGATTTCCTTCTTAAGGCTGAAA